ATCACAAAAAGCAGATTGCTAGATCAAAGTCAAGTTTTACTTACAGTTTTATGAATGATTATAAAGTTGAAATTATAATTATCACTGCCTGTGTGTTCATTATTTGTTTATTGCAAAGTTTTTTGCAAAGTAAAAATTACATGCGTCCACATTACATGAGTCCAGCTTGATCTTCCAGTCGAGTGGACGCTGCCGCGCTCTGCTGCCGTGCTTTGCTGCTGCTGCTCACCAGTTATTATTATTACTATTACCATTTTTATTTTAATTTTTTTCAGTTGCTGACGACAATTTGAATCGATTATCTAAGGCGCAACCCCTGTTTTGACAGTTTTTGCTTCTTTTGCTTGTGCTGCAGCTGTCAGCTGGTTGTTCGGTCCCTGCGCTTGTGTTTGCGGATCCACAGGGTGTTGGTGTGGCTCGTGCTCACCTGGGTTTTTTTATCAATCATTCATCACCCGGCGACAGCTTATCTCCAGTACTCTGCTACGGATCTTTTGCGGCTCCGTTGTTGCCTGGCTGTCTCTCCACCTGTTGCTCTATACTTCTACCCGGACATCGCCTTCCAGCCCCGCCGCAGGTATATCCACCGAGGGCTTCGGCAGAAGTTCAACATCAGTGACACTAACTCAATATTTTCCATCTGGTCAAAAACTCGTCGTCCGACCCGCAATACTGACCGGGCTGTTGACCACAGTGTGCTGGCCCACCTGGCTAAGCCTACTGTCAGGCATGGTAACTCCAGCATCACGTTTGGTCTATTAAACAACAGCTCTCTCACTGGTAAGGGACATGTCGTACATGATCTCCTCTGTGATCGTAAGTTGGACTTTCTTTGCTTGACTGAAACATGGCGACAGCCCAATGAATTTGTTTCTCTCAATGACTCTACTCCATCTGAGTTTGTTTACACCTGTCAACCTTACATCTCGGGGAGGGGCGGAGGTCTTGCGATAATTCACCGGAAGCACTGGAAAGTACTCCCTGTCTCTGCCCCTCCCTCCCATTCAATTCAATTCAATTCAATTCAATTCAATTTTATTTA